ACCCCGCAGCCCGCCCGGCGCTCACGCCCGCGCCCCCCGCGTCCGCAGGAGACCTACAAGCTGCCTCACCGTCTCATCGAGAAAAAGAGACGCGACCGCATTAACGAGTGCATCGCCCAGCTCAAGGACCTCCTGCCCGAGCACCTCAAACTCACAGTAAGCCGGAGCCGGCCCCTCGCCTGGCGGCCGCATCGCGTCCCGGGCGCGCGGCCACTCGCCGCCTGCAGGGCCGCGGGGAACAGCGCCAGCGGCGCGGATGGGGGCTCCCCGGGACCCTCCCCGGGGCTGGGGCGCCACAGCCTGGTGGGGCGGCCACGGCCCCCCGGACTTGAAGTCCGCTCCCACGCCTCCGGGCTTTGCTGGGGGGGACCCCCTGCTGGCGATTTTCGGGGTCTGGCTCTAGTTTTCCTAATTGGAGCGCCGAGCGGCAGGGGTATTTATTCATCCCCTTCCCCTGTCGTCCCCCCTTCAGACGGGAAGACCCTGTACTGTGCGTTTATGGTCCGGTCCCTGCCCTTCCTGACGGTGGCTCATAGCTGGCGGGTCTGGCCACTCGGTGGGGGAAAGGAAAAAACAGCACTTGAGAGGGAGGAAAAGGCCCGGAGCAGCAGGAAGCCGTGAAGGGGTGTCGGGCTCGGCGCAGGGCAAGTCTGGGTGCCAGACCCCGCCAGACGCCCCTGGGGTGGCACCGCGGAGAAACCTGTCTGCGGTTCCCGAGTTAAGGTCAGCCGGGCTGCCAGAGACCGGGCTGCCGAGCGCCCCCAGAGCCGGCTGGCAGGATGCCCCCGGGCACAGGGGCAGCGTTTCTCACTGTGAGGAGAACGTCTGTGTGTGACACTCTGAGAGCCGCCTCCAGCCCGAAGAGCAAACTGAGCCCACGGAGAGACGCTGTCTGCGCCCTCCGGAGACGCGCGTCCGCCCGAGGGGCCGAGGTGGGACTTCGGCCTCGCCGCTAACGAAGCCCTTTTCACTCCAGACTCTGGGTCACTTGGAGAAAGCCGTGGTTCTGGAACTCACCCTGAAGCACGTGAAGGCGCTGACCAGCCTGATCGATCAGCAGCAGCAGAAGATCCTGACGCTGCAGAGCGGTTTGCAAGCCGGTGAGTGCCGGTCGCGGCGGGGCTGGCTGGGGCGGGTCCCCCTGGGGCCCAGCGCCCTGGGGGAGATGCCCGCGGGTCTCTGCAGGAAGGCCAGGCGTTCCTTCCGGGCAGGCAGAGGTCCACGGTGGAGTGTCGCCGCGGCTGTGGGCGAGCGGCCCGGGGTTCCAGGAGACTCTGCTCCCCAGCCCCCACTCAAACGCCAAGCGCCCATAAGCTGCGTCGTGGGTGTTTTACGGTTGGGTCTCGCTGCCTCTTTTATTGGAGGATAAATCACGGGTCTGGCCGGCGCTTTCCTGTCCCTCTACTTCCTTGTCACCCCGCGTGTGGCGTGATCCTGGCACAGAAACCGGCAGAGGCTTCTCCTGCATTTCATGTGGTTCCCTGAATGGGCGCTGGGCATACTTGGCGCATTGCACAACCGGACGAAACCACCCACGTTTCGCCATTCATGTCCAGGGCACCGTAGCCGCCTCTGACGGCCTGCCGTCGCCCTGCCCGGGCGCCCCCGCGGTCTGGGGGAGGCCCTGGGCCCCCCCACCCCTTTCTTCTCTCTTCTCTGCCCCCTTTCCGGGACGGGCACGCGACCGCAGATCCTGCCGAGCGCCTCTGCCCGCTTCCCCTTCGCAGATAGGAAGTGGCCCTGCCGGCGGGGGCTCGGGGGCGCGTGGGG